AGTGGCGTGCAGTCCATAAAGGCGAAAAGGCATTGCCTACCTATAAATATCGTGAATATATAACATACATATAATGTACAAACGCGTTTATTAAAATTCAATAATATAATAAAAGTTTGTAAAAAAACGGCTAACATAAATACGCGCCTTTGTAAAGTAATGAATGCGCCCCGCACGCACCACGCATGCGCCACTATTCCTTAAATCTTGGTTGGCAGTAGTGACGTCACAAAAGAAATGTACCAAAAGTATGCACCGCGCATGCGTGAAGTTCACGACCATAGTCACGGTACAGAATAACCATTCATAATTATATTACGCGATTCCTGTTGATTGACAAAATGTTTGCAACTAAAAAATTAGAGGACCGTTCGTTCATCACTTGGAAAACGATCGTATTTTATTAAGAATTCTAAATACAATAAAACAACAACAAGTTATTGTATTTTTAAAAACAATTAAATCATAAAAGGATTTAAATTGATAAAATTTGTATGTATATCGTAAAGTACTGATGAATGGAGTACACCAGCGCCATCTATTGAATTTTTTGTTGAAACTTCTGAACTCGTTCGATATAATGCGAATGTATTTTTATAAATGCGTATTTAACAAATATTTTTCAAGTGTTTTAATTAAAGTTTAACATTTTTACGCGTTGTCGGTTTATAGAAATTTTAAACGAGGAGTTGACTTTATTATTATAAAAGTTAAAAGGAAGTTATTGATACGTCAAGATGGCGCCATTTACAACGTTTCAAATTATATGAATGAATGTTTTTTAGTATGAAATATTGGTTTAAGACGATGATGCAATTTCATTTGACTTACTAAATTAACGTTTGTTTTTTTGAAATTAAACGCTGCGTTACCTTAATTTTTAAGCTACATTTTTTTTATAATAAACACTCAATTGACTATTGGTAATGACTTCAATTCATTTCCAATGTTTTCGGCCATATTGTTTTCATGTGATGTGCGATCGCTTTGTTTATGTTTTCGTTTAAATTATTAGGAATTAGTTTTAAACATAAAGTTGCATAAATGTGTAGTAGTAGTTAAATATATGTGTAGGTTTTTCAAATAGTGTATTTGTTTCTCAGTTTCTAGTACAAGTACCTATATTATTCGATTGTGAAGTGTGTGTGAATAATAGGTAATTTTATGTGTTTGTTGAAAGTAAAAACAGTAAGATTTCGCAATGTCCTTTATCGGACTAGATTCAGGTAATGACCATAGGCAGAGGTGTACTCGAGTTACGAGAATTGACCCAAGTAAAAGGTAGGTAATGTAAATATGTACTATAATGGATCTTTTATTTGATTTTCTTGTTTATTGTTTGATAATTCTTAAAAATATCAACTTAGACTTCGGGTTGTACTGATTCACATATTAATTTATTATTAATATTTATGTAATGTAGTAATAACAAATGTACCGCATAGACTCGGCCGGCTCGGCCACAGCCGGCCGCGCTTGTTATTGTTTTGTTTGTTGACATAATGTAGGTACCTACGCTGTTAAATTCGTAATATATTATGATTTTGACCAGATTGATTAACCTTAACAATTCCATAATGAAATTTGGTTCATCAAATTTATGCTTCATTATTAAAATAAATAATAGATCTTTCATTATTTGTAAGTTTTGTTGGCTTATTCAATAGCTGATGAAGTACTTCACAAAAAATACGCGAGATGTCAGTGTATATAATTTGGCGAAACAATACACCACAATATTCTTGAACGCACTTTTCAAAATATATTATGTACATGTACCTATCTTGTGTGAGCATGATTGTATGACCGGCGGGGGGGAGGGGTTTAAACTGTCAAACACCAAGCGGTCACCGGTGACCGCAACCTATTGTTCTATAATTGTGTCTACAAAACCGGTACTCGACGAGTTAATCATACGATATTTAGTTGCCTACCCTGTCTCGAAAACCTGTGCACGCCACTGG